TATTTATATATCATTTTAAATATTATATTATATATTAAAATATAATAATATAATAAATTATTAAATCATTTTAAAATCACGTAAAATTTAATATAAATAATCTCAAGTATGATATCATATGATTCAACAATTAAATCAGTTAAATTTATATTATAAAAAAATTATTAAATATATAATATTTAGCTTAAATTTTTAGATTTACACTATCAGTTAACAGATTTGACTTATTATAAATATATGTGTGAGAGAGAAAGGATCAAATTAATTTGATAAAATTATTTCATTTAATAACTCATAGTTTATATTAAATTTTAAAGATTTAATTATTAAAATAAAAGTTTTTAATTTATAAATTAAGTTTATAAAATTTTTAAAAAATTTAAAATTATATAATATTTCGTTATATAGATTTATATCAACATATAAAATATTTTTTTAATTTAGTCTATTTTAATTAATGAAAGTCTACAAATTTTTTTATTTTTAAAAATTATTTGATGAATTATTTTATTAATTCAAATAAACATAAAAAAAATATTTTTATGAATATCTATCAACTTGAAATAATAAAGCAAAACATCAAATAGTTTTAAAAAAAATTATAAATTATAAATTTAATTCATACATTAAAATTTTTTAATTTCACAAAAAAGTAATAAAAATTTAATATAAAACATGAGTTATTAAGTGAAATAAGTCTAGATAAACTTATCCTCACAATAGATAGATTCATTATATGGAATCTCAAAAATTGTGATCACCTTTAATTTATTCAAAAATTTAAGTTTTCATAAATAATAAAGTGTAAATTAATTTTAACCAAATACATCATTTAAAATTCTCTTCACAATTAGAAGAGTTTTATTGTAACTCTTATTCCTTTATTCTTTTATATCATTAATTATTGAAACTTGACTTTGATTTTTATTATCATTCGAATCTTTTTATTTTATCAAAATCCCTAAAATAATTATCTTTTTTAAGCACTAAAATTTCATTAATTACATGATAATTTCTTTTAATATATATATATATATATATTTTTTTTTTATTTTTTTGTTGTTTTAGTCTTCGCGGTGAATATATACAAATCACTGCTTTTTTCATAAAAACAGCATTTTTTAACATAAAATATGCAAAAACGCAAAATATATAGACCTATTAGTATATGTAAAGGAAAAAATACGAGAAAACTATTGCGAACTCTTATATTAATATTACTAAATAACATACAAATTTTTCAATATTTTATAATTATAATTTTATTAAGCTATATAATTATTATAATATTCATTCATTATTAAAAAAAATTACTACTAAATAAATACTTATATATATTATTATAAATATTATTAATAAGTTAATATTATTTGTTAATTGTACCAATTAATAAATAATCTTTATATCATATCTTTAAGAATTTCAAGACACGTTGAAGAGTGACACTCACAACCAATATCTCCACCATCAAACACGATGTATATAGATTGACAAATATCATGCGAAATCATCCTTTAAAATTACGAAACACTATTAAAAGTGCCTATGTATGGGGATCGGGTATCATTCTACCCAATATAACTTTTAACATAAAACTCTTACAATCTGAACATTTGAATGTCTTTGTGGGTGTTGCTATCACAATGAATATTAAAGCAAGGAAGACGTCATCCCACTGTTACAGCACTTGCAAATTTTGATAATAACGAACATATATATATATATATTATATATATATATTATATATATATATATATTAATTAGTGAATTGAGCCACTTTGTATTTTTATTAAAAATAAAAAATAAAGTATTAAATGTATGTTGATATAATTATGATTAGCCCATTAATTTTAAAATATTGATTTTGATAACAAAAGAATTTTATTTTTTCTAATTTTCTAAAGTGAAAGGTTATGATCAACAAAATATGGAGAGTAAGGTGATTATTAAAAGGAGTCTCTCCTTTATATTTTATTATAGATATATAAACACACTCACACATGTTATATACCTTTTATACAAGTGGTGACACATTTTCTTAAATGAGAACATGAAAACAAGTATTATTAACTCTTAAATTAAAATAAATTACTTATATTAAAATATTGCAAATAAAGTTATCATGTGTCACTACCATCACATTTATTTATGTTATTGTCATCATTATTGTAACCATTAGCATCATTGTCACCACTACAATGATTGTCATCATTAATATAAACAATAATAATAATAACAACAATGACGGTGGTAATAACAGTAACTATGGTAGTGGTATGGTAACAATAATAATATTGGAGATGGTGGTTATATGATGCTAATTTGACGGTGTCAATGACAACAATAATTACAAACACAATAATAATGATAATAACAATCATAACAATGATAATACATTATAATTTTATTTATAATATTATAATCTATAAATTGTTATTAGCTGTGTTTATGTTATTATATAAGTTAATTAATTTGTCAATTTTAATTTTGACTAAAAAAAAAAACTTAATTAAGAAAGTTCGATCCTCTTCGTACTTTAAGGAAAAACATCCATCTTCATTCATTAATTTTTTCCTTCATATTTTCTGTTCTAAATAAAATAAAACACTCAATCAATTATTTAAGTTAGAAAAAATATCTTAAAAAATATATACGTTTTTATAATTATTATAATAATAAATTAAAAAGTATAATTTCATCATGTTATATTAGATGCTAATACGGTTTTAAATAATTTGTCCCCATAATTTTAGTCAAGATTTTATATTTATTTTAATAAAAAGATATTTATCTCCACATGTTATATATATATATTCAAATAAAATAATAATATAATTTTTGGGTGAAAATAAATTAATATAATATGTATTGTGTATCTCTTAAAATATTAATTTCGTAGTAGTATAATATATACCATCAATTATTGTTTATTATTTTCATATAAAAAAATTACTTTGTACATTATATTATATTATATATAATTTTATTTTAATTAATTTAGATATATATATTAAGTTAGCGACTTCAACATTTCCTGATATCATAATCCAATAATAGCTCTTAAACTAAAATAAATTATTTAAATTAATAATTACAAACAAAGATACTATATACCACCATAATCATAGTTGTCCTTATCATTATCCTCGTTATCAATCATCATTGTCAACACTATTACTGTTATTACCATCATTACATCATTGTTGTTGTCATAGCTATTTAGATATCAAATTATAAAAAAAATTATATTTCTTTCATGCTTTTATATTTTTAGAAAAAATAAAATATTTACTAAATGAATTAAGTCATTAAAAAATAAGTATCAAAAAATTATAGAGAAAATAATAATCAATCACCCTAAACTTTGTTTATTTTACAAATAGACACCATAAACTTTCATTCTATCTCAATAAATCCTTAAACTTTATCTAATTTGTAAATAAACATCATGAATTTTAATTTTATTTTATTTAATCCTTATTTTTTTTATATAAATAAACATCTTTAACTTTAATGTCATTTACTTAATATTGACATTTGATAATTTATTATTTTTACAAATTTTTTATATTATTAATTTAGAGTTTAATTATTTATCTTAAATACCAATCATTTAGTATTTTTTTTATGTTGCAGTTTTTTTTTCAAAATATAATAAAAATACGAATTTAGAAAAAAGAGAAAAAAAAGAATGATAAAAATAATAAAAAGAAGTTTTTATTTGATTTTTTCTTCTTCTAAATTATATGGTATTTTAATATATAAAAATAAAACTAATATATAAGTACCAAAAAATTAATAAATAAGTGTGATTTAAAATAAATACATGATTGATATTTTTTTAATCTCAATATAATATAAGAGACTTAAAAAAATAAGAATTAATTAATATAAAATTGTAATAAAGGTGCTTATTTATAAAAATGATAAAATTTAAAAATAAATTATAATAAAATTAAAATTTATAATATCTATTTATTAACATAATAAAATTTAAGGATGAATTAGAATAAACTTAAAATTTGTAATCTCTATTTACAAAAGGCATAAAGTTTAGGGGGGGTTTAGATACTTTTTTTTTATATTAAATTTACGATAAAATTAAATGGAAAGTATAATTTTCTCCTAATTATCGTCCATATTTTATTTTTTTTGTGGAATTTAATAATATTGTAGGCCGCAGGAAATAAATTGTTGGGTGGACGAAAGAAAAGCGTATTGTGAACTAGAACACAAGGGTGTGGAACATGAAAGTTTCGGTTTAAAATAAAATAGCCCAATGTCTATGGCCCAAAAAAAAAATTAAAACAAAAAATGATCCAATGAAGAAGCTCCGATCCAAATTCTGAAAAAAAAATTCAAAACCCTAGTGGAGAAAAAAAAACTAGAACCCTAAAACAATACATTTGGTTGTTTCATTATAAGAGTTGAGTCACTAGCAACTTACCATTAACCGTCATTTGTTTTCTCCTCAGCGTAAAGCCAGTGCAGCTGCAGCACCCCGCACTGTTTCTTCGACCTTGGTAAAGTCTACTTAGCATCAATCGTGTTTGTTATCATACAAAATGTCCCCATTTTACGATATTGTGTTCTAGCGTTTCCGCGATTAGTTGCATTTTCCTTCTTATCTTGCAATTTACGATTGTTAATGAACGGATCAAGAACACCCTTTGAGATTTTGATTTGTGTTCCCTCTCTGGGTGTTGTGTTGTGTTTTGTAATGTAGTACCCAATTGAAAAAACTCTTGTTTGAAATTTTTGTATCTGGGGTATTCTTTTAGTTGTGTTTTCCATTCAAATTATCATTATTGATTAAACGATTCGTTGGTTTCTTGCGTAAGGTAAGGGAGGGAAAAATAATGGTTGCGTGATTGGATGGAAAAATATCTTTTTAAATTTACTTTGTTCTCTCTAAGGTGAGAACATACCTACCATTGAATCTTAGTGCTTTAAGACTACAACAAGCTTTAAATGAAATTGAGGGTAGATGGATATCCCACTTGAGAGGATCCATTATATTATAGATGTTAACTTCTTTCTGACCATTTCTGTTTAGCATTTGGTGTGCAACTTGTGCACATGATTGGTTTGTGTTAGTTATTTATTATTGAAATTTGTCACAGTGACTATGGTGAGGGTTAGTGTCTTGAATGATGCTCTCAAGAGCATGTACAATGCTGAGAAACGGGGGAAGCGCCAGGTCATGATTAGGCCATCCTCGAAAGTGATTATAAAATTCCTTTTGGTGATGCAGAAGCATGGTATTTTTTAAACTTTTTTTTCCATGAATGTTCCTTAACTTGTTTTTTGTTTGCTTTCTAGATATTTACTTATTGCATGATCTGGTATGCTCTGGTGGTTGTAGGATACATAGGGGAGTTCGAATATGTTGATGATCACAGGGCTGGCAAAATTGTGGTAGAATTGAATGGCAGATTGAACAAGTGTGGTGTTATTAGTCCCCGCTTTGATGTTGGTGTCAAAGAGATAGAAGGTTGGACTGCAAGGCTACTTCCCTCAAGACAGGTTAGCCAAAGAGACTTCATTGCATCATTTTCTCAACTTATGGGTTACATATGCTCAACTTATGGGTTACATATGCGGTCCTTTGACTCTGTTATAAAAGACCACAGACTTGTTAATTAATAATTGCAATAATTATATTTACTTTACCAACACACACTATTGAAAATGTTAAAGATGGTTAAGATCAGCATGTTTAAGATGGTTAATTTCAGTTCAACATGTTCACATCCTATCTTTCATGGTCAAGTTTTTTTCCCTAGAATTCCTCAGACATCTTGTTCTCTAATATAAGTTTCTTCGAATATCAGCTTGTGGTATAATTGTTATGCAAGGATCAAAAAATGGTTTTGTTTCGGCTATTGGTACTTGTATTTTATGTCAGATTTAGTCGATAGGGCTATTTTTTGAGGGGTTGAGTTATTTTGTTACATAGATGAAAACTGAACTTGCTGAAGTTGCTACGTACCATTAAACTTGTCTGTTACTCTGTTGTATCTTATTGTTTACGCTTATTCAGTGGCATCTGACCATTGATTACATAAATCATGCAGTTTGGGTACATTGTCTTGACTACCTCTGCTGGTATCATGGATCATGAAGAAGCCAGGAGAAAGAATGTCGGGGGCAAAGTGTTGGGTTTCTTCTACTAGACGAGGTTTTTTTTTTTTTTGGTAAGGATCGTACTTGATTTCAGATTATGAGACTTGTCGGTTGTTATGAAAGATGTGCTAGTTTACTGGCAATATCAATGACATGAAACAGGAGATGTGCATGTTCATTACGTGGTTACCAAAATCATGCTTACATAGACCATAAGTTTTAAAAGCGACTGAAAACTTGTTTTTAAGCGCTTAAAAAAGTGCAGTTTTATGCTTTAATTTTTATGTTTAATTAAATTGAAATTTCAAATTTGTGTAATCATTTTCAGCATTAATGGATGTTGTGTTCTCTTCTACGAGCCCGAACAGTTCTCCGCTAAACTATTCAAGTGTATTTTGAGGGAATGTGTGATTTTAATTATAGACGATGTTGATAGGATGGTAACAGATAGGGTATGGACCAGGTACTAGAATACTTGAGTCCATATTTGTATTTTAAAAAAATATCCGCATCCGGACTTATGCTCGTGTAGATAATAACTAATTCTAATCTTTATCTATTAAACATGTATCTATACTTGAACTTATCGATTTTAATTATGAAAACCCAATGAATAAAGAAACATTAATTAAACATACAATTGATATTCAAATAAAATAGTTTTTAAATGTCTTTTATAAAATATAAAATATTACAAATAGAAAGGGAGAGGGAATGCAGTAGTGATCCTGCTTTTCAACGAAGCAGTCAATGGCTCAATGCTGCCCAATGTGATAGTGTAGTCACATGTCATTAACTTAGGTCTTACATACTTGGGATAAATGTGTAGTTGTGCGCCAGCATGTGTAATACTTTTGCCTTTTTAGACCAATTTATGGAACTTTTTAAATTTATTTGGATTGAGTGTCTTAAAAAAGATCAAACTAATTTGAAAATTTAGATCATATAACAAAGATTGAAGGGAGTAATACAAGAGATGATCGTTCTCAAATATGAGATTAACCAAGCTTGGGGATGAAGCATAAGAGTCCATCTATAATCGATTATATAAAAACTCATAGTATAAATGTTTAAAATTCAATAAATTGTTGTATTTGGATATTTATATTAACAAACACTTATACAATTTTATAGTGTTTGAATATAATTATTTAAACATTTATAAGATGTTATTCTATTTTAAAATTAAAATTAAAATAAAATATAAAAAGTAACTAAATATTTTTTTTTAAATATCATTATATGTCACAATAATATTAAAAATAAAAGTTACTAATCACAATTCACCTAATTTTAATTTATAAAAAAAAAAAAATAGTAAAATATGAGAAATTACTTATATATATAACTATGATTAAAAGTTAAGAACTATAAATTTTAAAAATTAAAAAAATAATTTTATATAATTTATAAATTAATGATTAAAAATATATTGTATATATATTAACAATAAAATTATTTCAAATGCGTCATTTTAGTGAGAGAAAAGGTTACGAGATTTTTTTTAATAATAGAAAAATGTGAACTTTGAAAAGAAGAAATTGAAAAAATATTGGAGGAGAAAAGAATAAAAATAAAGAGGAACAAAAATTTTGAGAGTAAAAAATAAAGAACCTTTAAAAAAGAATAATAAAAAATAAAAAACTAGTTTATAATAGAAAAATGTAAAAAATTAAAACTATTTATATCAATGTAAAGAATCAAAATTGGGTGTTTTATAATAAGTTGTCGTATAAGTTAAATAATAAATTATATTATAAATTATCAAAATAAGTTTAAAATATTTTATAAATTATTTATAAGATTTTATAAAATTATTCAAACACTTTTATAAATATTTATAAAATAAAATAAATAAAAATAAATTATTTATATGACTCGAAACACAGATATATAATCGCGTATAACTTACGTAAACAAATGTCGTGACTTGCATGATGTGAATGTAATATTCATCTTTCGCACAATTTGCACTTATGTGAAGAAGTTTTTATATATATTTTTTATTTTGTCCAACATATTTCTTCTCTCTTCCATTCTCTTTCAAGTACTTCCCTCCCACTTCACGAACACACTCAATTTTTTTTCTTCTTTTTAAAGCTTCACATTCCATGAGTTTAGTATATGTATACGCACAATTTAAATAATATTAATATAAATCATTAATATTTATAAAAATACGAGTACAATTTATTGAATTAAAATTAGAGTCGTATTATTTTAGAAATTTCAATAATCTCCATTTAACAGTAAAAAATATATTTAAAAAGTATATTAATATGAACAGCGTGGTGAATATAAAGAGTCGTTTTTAAAGGAGTGGCTTCTTTGAGAGTTGAGACGTAAACGCCGTTGTTTTGGTTTTACAGGTTTAGGGAGAAGCGGAAGCATGTCCCAAGCAAAGAGTGAGCTTCGTCGGAGAAGCCAACTTCTACCTGCGTTATAACTACTTAGCACGGTAACGCCTCGCTCTATTTTCTTCTTATTTATAATTTAAACAACTATTTTTCATTTTTTTTTATTCTGCTTCTTCCTATACTTGTCTAATAATATTTTAAATTCCTGAATGTAAATTTGAGTATGCAGAAGTGAACATCGTTTGACAGCATTATAGCACTATAATTTCATCAAGTATAGAACGATTGGCATGGAGTAAGATAAACTCTACCCTCTCTTTTTTAAGAAAATGTTGGGGTTTTATATCCATTAGGGTTTTGCTTGATAAAATCCCGAAGTGAAGTTTGAGTCTGTTACATTGGATGATTGAGAGTTACATTGAAATACTAGCAACCGTGATTTTAAGTAAATAAATGTTCACATGCGTTTCCATGTTAAGCAATTGATTTTGAGGTGAAACAACTGTACGTAGCTATTGTGTTGGATAAAAAAAGTTATACTTGAGTTTTAATATTGTTACATGAAGAATCATAGGTATCCGAAGGGATAGTGAAAATAATTTGGTTCCAATGTTGATCATCTGATTTAGTCCTGTCCTATTTTGGTCGACAGAAAAAAAATATATATATATATTGAAATTGGTGGTATTTTTTATTCTTATGACAATGATAACGGATTTGTACATTAGGAAAGGAAAGCATAAAACGATGGAAGAAGATTTGTCAACTTGCGACTCCAGATTTCAGAAGTTGAATAATGAAGTGAGTGCGGATGGTCACAAGGATAGGATAGGCAATTTACCGGACGAAATCATTCAACACATTTTAAGTTTACTGCCAACAAAAGATGCTGTTAGAACAAGTGTATTGTCTAGAAGGTGGCATTCCCAATGGGTGTTTGTCACCAATCTGGACATCTCAGAATTTGCACCAAATATGAACCAGAAGAGGTCACTTTTCATGGATTTTGTGGATAGAGTTATTGCACTCCATAAACCATTGGATCTCAATCTTTTTGCACTGGCTTGTAAAGTATTTGGCGATGCTTCTCGCATCAATTCATGGGTATGTGCTGCAGTAAAGCACAATGTTCAGCACTTGCTTCTTTTGCTTCATCAGATTCATCTAGAGCCTCTTGAATTGCCTCATTGCCTATTTACATGCGAAACACTCAGGAAGGCTGTTATAATGGCAGATATTTTGCTCAAGCTTCCATCTTCTATTCACTTTTCGAATTTGAAGTTGTTGACTCTTCAGTATGTTGTTTTTCCCGACAATGAGTCCACTCAACAACTATTTTCTGGCTTGCCTGTCCTGGAGGAGCTAACATTGGATAGATGCTGCTGGTGGAATGTTGAAACTGTTACGATAGCACTTCCCATGCTTAAGAAGTTGGATATAACAGAAAATGTAGCAGACTGTGATGATTGTCTGTTCTTTATTGTTGCAGAGAACCTCAAATCCTTTTATTACATTGGTACACTCCGAAATGACTATTACATCTGTGACTCTGTATCCATTGTTGGTGGATTAATGGGCATGTGCGGCACAGATGACATCGGAGAGAGTAGCAGACAAAAAGAAGTTGCTCATAGAGCTGCTAGGCTTCTTAATGGGATCTCTTGCGTGAAAGAACTAATGCTAACTCCTTATGCATTTGAGGTACTTGACTTTTTATTAGTTGTTGGAAGTTGGTGCTACTTTTGTTGGGGTGTTCTAACACTGGAGAAAACTTCATTAATGAGTAGGGAATAAATCACACAAGTTAGGGAATAAATTTCACAAGTGGATTTAACATCATATCATAACCCAAAATCTTAAGACTTAGTTTGGGGGAGAGCAAGGAATAGAAGAGAATAAGAGAGAATAGGTGAGAAATGATTTGATAGAAATTAGGTAAGAAATCGAGTGAAATAGAATGAAATTTGTAGTTGTTTAGTAGAGTGGAATTAAATAAGAAATAGAGTGATTTTGGTATTTACAATTACTATTTTACCCTGACTTTATAATATAGTTAGAATTAATATTTTTTGTTTTATGTAATTTTACACATTTTTCAAAATTCACAAAAATCCCCTCAATTGAGAGGGTATAAAAGATGATGTGGGACTGATTTCTAATTTCTCACAATTCTCCTTAAATACCCTCTACCGAATACTAATATTTTTTTTCAAATCCACTCTAATCCATCCCCCTATTAAATCACCTCCACCAAATATAGGCTAAGGCATTTGGTAGGGGAGTTTTTCTTACTTATATAATATTCAATATACTTGATTCTAACCGACGTGAGACTTTTTTCACACTTAAACTACAACAACTCTCATTTAAAATGTTCATTAATTTGCTTTTTCTCTCATGGAATGTTGTTGCCATTTTGCTAGGTTCTCACATATTCTAAAAAATTATGTGCCTGCATGCCTGATTTATACAAATTGACATACCTTGGATTTCTTTCACTGGGAACGGCGATCAATTTTGGTAGTGGAACACTGGCCAAGTTCCTCCAGAAATTACCATGTCTTGAATTACTCATTTTCCAATCGGTAACTTTCCAGTAACCTCTAAGTATTTGTGGTTTATTTTAATTCTATTTATGATTTATGATATTAAATATAATTGGTCAATTGATTCTGAATTGTAGGGCATTTGTTTGTCTGGGAATCATGAAGAAGGAAGTTGGATACTGGATCCTATACCTTCTTGTTTCTCAAGTCATCTCAAGTTAATTAGGATTAGTCAATTCTGTGGAACAGATGGGGAACTGCAAGTAGTGAAGAGTTTGCTTAAACATGCCGAAATTTTACTGCAAATGGATATAATATGTCATCATGATAAATTTTGTGGTGGTTTGGAAAGGGAAAGGGATGTTCTTAAACAATTACAAATGCTTCCTAGAGCCTCCACTTACTGCACAATCAGTTTTGCTTGAGCCATTGTATGGACCTTTACGGCAGAAGAGATCTACACTGCGATTATGTGTTTGCTTTTGGGGATTTAGACTTTAGTCACTGACAGGAGATGGGAGGTATAGAAAGTTGGAGTTCACCAACAGAAAAAAGGGTATAGAAGTTGGAAGTTGCAACACGAATGATAGATTCATACTTTTGTAGCAAGTCGCTAAAATTCTTTTCAAGCACTTCTATAGTAATTTTGAATCAATTATACTTGATCTATGTATTCAGCCTGGATATAATAGTGTAAAAATTGCTGTAAATTTGAAAAGAAAAAAAATATAGCGCCTTTATAGAGATCTATCTATTTTAGCCTTCGAATTATCAGTTTCATTTGTTGAATATTAAAAAAAAAATCAACATGGGAGATTGTACGCAATTATATTTCTTTTTTTTTTTTCATATCTTTTTTGAGTAAAACATATATCTCAAAATAAAGTAGTCTTTTTGTGTTCAAAAAACATTTTCTCACGTGACATTGCGCTGTTTTTTTTCTTCTTCTAAATTTGATAGAAAATCAAAATTGCTTTCTATGTAAAACATTTTGTGGAATCCCTGTTATATGATAAAATTTCTAACATAAGATAGGAATTTCTAACATAAGCTAGAGATAGAGAGACGTAAATATTACAATTATACTGTTATTCACTTCCAAGTTCAAAGATTCACTTTAATAAATTTTTTAATTCAAGTGAAAATAGAACATATTGAAGATTTGTTTCTAGATGAAAACAAATTATTTTACACCAATGTATACATCCATAGTAAGGAAATAGATATGCAAGAAAAAAAGATATATATATATATATATATATATATATAATATTATGAATATCATGGAATTATGTTAATTAAATTTAATTAGTATACAATACAAGTCATGTATGGATGCTGGTGTTCATATTTTTTTACCCTTTGACTACTTAACTAATTTCTCTAATGGAATAATCATAATACAAATTAGATCAATATACTTTTATTTTTTATTTTTTATTTAATTTTATTTTTAATAGAAGCACGAAGTGCCTCGACTCTAGTATATATAAAATGGGTGGAAAGGATGCTTATTAAAGACAAAATTTTTTTATTCGGCGGGATTTCAATGAGTGACAACTTTTCTTTCTATTATTTAACATAATTGTAAATCCCAAGTTTAAAATCGAATCCACTACCTAAGGGCCCGTATGGGATGATTTTTAATTTTAAGTTTAATTTTTAAAAAAAATTACATCTAAGTTTTAATTTTGTGTTTTCTATTTTTTAGTTTTAAAATAAACTCATTTTAAAAATTTTATATCTTATTAAAATTAGTTTAAGTGTGTCTTAAACTTTTGATATGGTAGCAACAATAATAGTAATAATAGTAACAATGATGATGACGGTGATATAAGTGTTTGTAGTAACAAAGTAAATGACAATATTAGTGGTGACATTAGAAAGAATTATTGTTAGACATAATAATTTTGTTTTTAAAAAACCAAAATTTTTAATAATTTTTCTTGATTTTGAAAATTCATGCAAAATTGTATTGAATTTGAGTTAAAAATTATTTCAATTCCTTTTTTTTTTTCAAATACATTTCGTTTTGAAAATTGCATTTGAAAGTCAAAAACCGAAAACGTGCGACCACTCCACGCAGACCTTAAGTTAAAATAGTTTTGTGTCAATTAATTCACATGCTCAAATTATTAAAAAAAATAAATGGGTGTGAACTTTTTACTAATAACTATTGTTATTAGGAAGTTAAAATATCAAGTTATAAATAGAGGAGGGAAAAAGTGAAAAACATAACACCCGGTCACCCACCCTTGTGTTAATCTGGGCGAGAACAATGCAAAAAATGGTATGAATGTATTATTAATAACTATTGCTATTAGTAAGTTATTATATGAAGTTATTGGGAAAATAGAAGATGACAATGATTCATTACTTGTAGTAAGTTATTATATTCCGTATGATTTATCAAACATTGTATAGAAGTTGACCCGCCATCATATGCAGTCCAATTTATTCGGTGCACCAAATTGGTTTGAGGCCGACATTTTTACGCATATAACATTTTCTTACTCAGAGACAATGATCGCCACACCATGTGATGTGATAAATTCTCCAATGTAACACTAAAATTAAGAAAATATATAATTACTGCGATTAGCGTCGCATAAGAAAATTTCTTCCAGTTAAAGAAAACAGTACCATGTATGGCATGTAGCCATGCATGCGAAAAAGGGACATACACATTTGACTCGGACACTGAAACATGAGCAACCACTCCTTACCGTTGCGATGTCTTCCTCAGTGTTAGTGTGCTGTCTATAACGTCTAACTTATGCTTGAAGAAACAGTAAAGCATTCTGCACAAGAAAACTTAACGTTTGCACCCCACATATAGGGTCCAAAAGTGGCAATTCTTTTCGTTATAGGAGGAAAGATCTACCTCCACATTATACCATTCCATCTTGTACAACTCAGCTGCGAAGGATGGTGCTACCCAAGTTCTCTCTATTCTTCTGGCTTCTCCTTTCTTCCCTTGTGATTCTCTTGATAAACTATCAAGTTAATTGTGATGATGGTGAGTACTTGCTCTCTCTCTCTCTTGAATCAGCTAATATTCATTATCTTTAAATGGGTTTCACTTGATAGTAATATTATACACGAGTTATTGTATGAATACTTTTAACATAACTATACTTGAAGTTTTTTTGCTTTCTGGGTACTTTGTCATTTGTGTTGTCACTGTTGTCTTTCTTGTGTTTCTCAATAGCCTTGGCCAAACAGATCCTGGAGGCAGATTGATTTAGGATTTCTAATAGAAATCTCATATTGACAGGTGATCAAACCAAAATAAAGTAGCCAGACAGAATATATAATCTAAGTAGATCGTTTGTTGTAGATCTCGATGATTTGATGTATATGTTAAAATGGAATAAAATATAACATATGTAATTTGCTTTGCATGCACCACAAACAATTATATCAAGCTTGTCCAAGTAAAAGTAAAAGGGTCATGATGATATACACTCCATCAAAATTTCATCATTTTATAGGTCATCTAAGAGATCGTTTGTCTCAATTTGATATAATTAATTTTAAAATCTTTCATATTTTTTCTGGCACACATGTATTGAGGTTGACATGTTGACAATGAGACTGCACTCACCTTAACATTCTCCTGCAGATGAGAAAGACAATCTTTATGAGGGTATAAACAAGTATCGAGCAGCGTTAAACTTGAAAGCTCTAACAAGGAACGAAAATGCTGATTGCCTTGCTGATAAAATAGCTGACCAATTCAAGAAACAACCCTGCACAAATACCACAGGTGCTAACACCGTACCCGGCACAGAGCCTCAGTTTTCCAACTATCCAGACCTTTTAAGTAAGTGTCACTTGGCTATTACCAATACAAGAGATGGAAATGTGATGCCAGCTTGTGTTCCTGGCCTGGTTCCGAGCCTTGTCCTCGCTAATTTCACCAAATCTCTCTACTCAGACAGTCTCAATGACACTCAGTATACAGGAATTGGTATTGGTTCAGAAGATAACTGGATTGTTGTTGTCTTAACCACCAACACTCCTGCAGGAAGCTTTGCTCCCTATAGTTCTAATGGTGCCAATTTGATTTCAAGATCTGGATTGATTTACTGCTCAATGCTCTTCTTAGTTGGTAACATTTTCCTGTTATGAAACCAAGAGGATGCTTCATAGTTACAATTTTGTGACCAATCAAAGGTATTGCTTTTGTCAGGGTGAACTTAATGAAGACAACTGTGGTTTTTCTATAGGAAAATGGAGAGATCCTTGTGTAACTGTGGCTTCGGTATTGTAATTCTATAATGCTAGAGACAAATAGGAGAAAGAAAGCATTGTCCCAAATTGTTGTTTTAATATTGTTGTCAATGTCATTATTATCAATAATATCATTTTTGAGCTCGGAAGTTTGGCTTTTGCCAAATGATACAAACTGTAAGTCCAATTGGAAGTGCATAACATGGTGCTAACAGAAAACACTCTAATGCAATAAACAGTCTACTTCAGTGCTAAGGTATAAGATGAGACAGACTAGTTTAAATTTTCACATTCCTTATTCAGTTCGGAAACACAATCTAAACCACCAGCAACATTCACTTCTTGAATCTGCCATTATTTACCTCCATAGCAGATAAATCAATTTTAACATATTCCTGGGTGATTTTTTTTTTTAAGAATATACTCATACCGCATTCAAACTGCCTTCAATTTGGGGGAATTCATGGACAAGTATCTTCCAATCACGAGCATTAGAATCCATGTTGACTTTGCAATCTTCTCCTTTACCATCAGGAGTAATGCAGAGCTGAGAACAGTTTTCAATATCTGTGCTTGCAATCCTTTGAAAAATCCCAAAATACCTTCTCTTCTCCAAATAGTATAGAGTGCTCCAGATATTGTCCTCTGTGCCTTCCTCTCAGCTTCTGTACACTTATCATCATCTGATTCAGCAGCCTGAATCATGACCTTACACCTATCCGCAATTCAAAAACAACTTTCATCAGCAAGTCCTTGACATAGCACAAATGCACAAACAAAGAAAATGCTATTGTAATGCATTAGTTGTTTTTTCTCAAGATACTGATAGAAGCTACTTCAGATTAAGCACACCTAGAAAGTACTGTTAAAATTGACGAACAGAAAGAGTGCACAAATTTCCTCGATAATCAAGAGATCCAGAACTCTCCTTAGCCATAATACTAACTCACCAATTGAGCAACTCTTCTCAATTCCCCTTCCCATTTATAAGCAACATGCCTTATTAATAAGCAACTAATCTGATCAACTAAATAATGTAAATAACTAACTATTGGGTATCCATAAGGTACATCTGCAGAAACCTTAGATCTGCAAAAAATAAAATTGTTTTTTTCCCCCTTCTTTTGCATTAAATTCACCAGAATCAGTAATGCACGTAAGAAATTCTGGAGGAAAATAATTTAAATTGACCATCCACCTGATAGCTGGGTATGTCAAGCAGGTAGCAGCACATTTTGAAACTGCACCGAGCATGAAAGCAGAAAATGCAGAAAGTGCTTCTGGGGATGACTTTGTACCTGTTCTCTTGCCCTTTAGTATTCTCTGTTTCAGCTGATCGTATGCAGTATACTGTTGGGGGAAAAAAAACCTTGTCTGTGTTTGGTAATCTTCTAGTGCAAACTAATCTGGAAAAACAGATCCTCTCTATTCTCTAGGTTTCATTTGTATAAATACGTTCTAAAAGTGATACCTGAATAGATGGATTTGTTGTTAAAAGAATGGAAATGCCAAGTCCATCAAATGCTTCACTCCATGTACCCTCTGAAAGGGTCTTCCAGAGTCCCTTGGATTTTCCAAATTCACTGGTCTGCATCCTTGATGATGCTGTATCTAAGGGCTGTAAAATACAAGAACAAATTACTGAAGATAGTGTGGCTAACAAGAAGGAAAGGTCGAGTTTGGACAGTACATTAATTAATCAGGGATCAGCTTGTTTCTTTTGCTAATATTATTATAGAACAATTTACTTGAGAGAACATACAGTATAGGTTGATCATGTTCTCCCTCTTTTTTTAAAATGGATAAAGTTCTTGTTACGACTTGTACCAAGAAACTCTACCCAAATACCCACCAAAACCAACACAACTGCTAGGCTCATGTGATGTAACTCTTAGTTGATCACATACTAGAAATGCCAAATATTGAACTTAGCTAATGTTGTCACGTCCACAGAATGGAAAATCAGCAATTACCCTCAGAAAAACTTAATTTCATGCAATTTATGGAACCTTCCTTATTTAGAAAATTACAAAAAAGTACATCACTTCTAAGCAACTAACAATAATTTGTCTCGGAAACACAACTACAATTATGACTTGCCTGTGTTATTACTATTGTACAGACACCAGCAGCAGTGGCGACAATCAAATTTGCTACTGTTCCAATGGTCTTGTTTCCAGTTTTTTTCAAATACATCTTTCTAAAGTAGCTGTATCCATAGAAATAAATGAAGGATGAAACAAAGGACTGGACGTTTTTTGTCCCAAGGCCTTGGTACAATGAAAGCACCTGACTGGTAGAAATTGCTTCCCATAGAACATCAGAAATTCTCCTACATGAGACATGAACAAAAATCATATAAGCACAACTCACAATAAACTTCCTACTTAATATTTGCCATGATAAAAAACATCACCATAAAAGCAAAAGAATACCAATAACTTGGACAATTGGAATATTATTATTATCATTTGACATTATCATTTTTGATTCATAGAAATTACAATGACGACAACAAAACTTGTGCATACTAGCTGAACTCCCACCTCATCATTAGGCCAACCTTTATGGTTTTGACATTATCATTTAGCTTTCTCTAATTGTTAGTATTGTGTAGTTTGATTTAGTCCCACAACTAATATTCTTAAGGAGTTTTTCTTTCTATATTACTATATAATTAACACCTTATAATGTTTTTATTCACACCAAGAAATAAAACACTCCCTAGTGTAGCTTTGGATGTAGGTACATACATTGTGTGTCGAATGACGTTAAGTTCTTGGTATTAGGAACCTATATCTTAGTATGCTCTGTGGTTGCAACTTTGTTTGATCTTCCACATCAGAAAATATTTGGTTTTCTGCAACTTTGTTTGATCTTCCACATCAAAAAAGATTTGATTTTCTCTACGGGAGTCTCAATTTAGAAAAAGGAGTGGGAGCTTTCTTAGTTTAGAGAAAGCAACAAGAGTGATGGAATTAGAAGAAGGAAAGGTGAAGATTGAGAAGTTTGATGGTAGAGGCTTTGGATTTTGAAAGATGCAGATACAAGATTATCTCTATCAGAATAAGATGTATCAACCCTTAACAGGGAAGAAGCTAGATGACATGAAGTAGACAAATTGGGAGTTGTTAGACTGACAAGCTCTCGGTGTGATCCGATTGACATTGGCCAAGAATGTTGCATTCAACATTTTGAATGAGAAGAAAATTGTAGATCTGATGAAGACATTGTCCAACATGTACGAGAAGCCATCTACAAATCTGATGAAACATTGTCCAACATGTACGAGAAGCCATCTGCAGCCAACAAAATAAATTTAATGAATTCAATATAATTCTTGCCTAGTTGGTGTTAGTGCAGATGGCTTCATCAAATCTGCAGATGGCTTCTCGTACATGTTGGACAATGTCTTCATCAGATCTATAGTTGTCTTCTCGTTCAAAATGTTAAACGCAACATTTTTGGCCAATGTCAATTGGATCACACCAAGAGCCTGTTGGTCTAACAACTCCCAATTTGTCTGCTTCATGCCATATAGACTCTTCCCTGTTAAGGGTTGATACATCTTCTGATAGAGATAATCTTCTATCTGCATCTTCCAGAATCCAAAGTCTTTGCCATCAAACTTCTCAATCTTCACCTTCCCTTCTTCTAACACCATCACTCCTGTTACTTTCTCTAAACTAAGAAAGCTTCCACTCCTTTCTCTAAATTGAGACTCTTGTGGAGAAAACCAAATATTTTCTGATGTGGAAGATCAAACAAAGTTGCAACCACAAAGCATACTAAGATATAGGCTCCTAATACCAATTGTTAGGAGCAAAGCATATAAAGAAAATAAAAGAGATAGAGAACGACATAAGAATTTAATGTGGTTCAGCACACAATGTATGTATCTACATCCATGGCTACACTAGGGAGTGATTTATTTCTTTGTGTTAATAAAAACATTACAAGGTAACCAAATTTTCTAGTGCTGACCAACTTTACATGACATACCCAATTTCCAGCTTTGTTTGCTTCATTTTTCCAAAAAGGGCTTTATAATTCACACACTTAAACCTAATTAATTTAATTTTGGGCCATGATCACAGATAACAAATGCACTAATAAATAATGTCACCTACTGTCTGACAATAATATCTGTAATAAGCTAGCTTACATGGAAAATGGACAAAAAGATCAAATCATGCTACCACAATTAATACTTGCACATGACAACCCAGTCCATGAACTACAACATAAACATGTTAGAATATAAATAAGTTGGATTGGAGGCAGAAAGTTAAAATGGGTGAAGAATGGAACTTGTATTTTCGCTGATGGTGAGCTTGAACTTCAGCTTGATATTTGGTCTTGCAAGTATCAAGTGGGTACAAGACGGTGGTACTAACAAGTGATCCAATGGCACCAGAAGTAGCTTCTGATAATGATTCCAAATCAAGTTGCATCTTTTTCAGTTCTTAGCAACCCCTACCCTAAGAAACAAAGGAATGAAAGCACACAAGATGAATAGAGTAAAAAGACCCAAACTTTAGGCTTGTTGGATACTAGGGTATCAGGATTTGAAGGATATGAAACAAAAGGCGCTGTTTTTAGGAGCTTCAAAGACACCCATGAATTGGGTAAGTATAGTTGAGCTTCAGTTCCGGCTTCACATATGGGGATTTATCATTGCTTTGCTTCTTTCACTTTATAGAATAACGTATGTGAATGAATGTCTCTCTTCGACTCTCTTTCTACTGGGCTCAAATTTTTTATTTCAACGGTCTCTCACCAAAATCTATAATTTTAATAATTTTTTATTAAAAATATTTTTTTAAAAAAAACCTGCCTATTTTACCATGATATTTTGGTAGGTTAATAATACCTCTAGTTGAATAAGAGAAATATTATCAACACAAAGCTTTTCTTTAACACTGTTAATTTATTAAAAGTTGTAATTGTAACAAGCGTAAAAAATAATAGATCTTATTATTTAATTTTTTATATGAAAATTATTCTAAAATTATTTTTTAAAAATACATGTAATCATGAATCATTTCTTTTAATTAATATAGAGTATATGTAATACATCGTAAAATTTAATACTTCTACTTCAAATCTATAGCAACAAAATACTTTTTGTACTGAATATTTTCTTTACGTAGTATATTAATCAATGTATTTATCCTATCTAATATCAACGGTGTTATAAGATAAGTTATACGAATTAGCCATTAAAATTTAAATTTTAGAACTATTCAATTATAATATATTAATAAATATGATTTTCAACTCTAAAAAAAATAAAAGATTAATAATTAATGTTACATTAAGTATCAAAATTTCTAAAACAGATTTACATAAAATATGTGTAACACATGCAAATTAAACACACACACTAAAGATATTTAGAAAATATTATTTCTCGCCATTTCAACTATTTTCTTTAAAAAAAACTTGTTTCCTAACTCAATTGTATCTCGGAACAATAGTTAAAATTTGCAAAAATTTTCTTTTCCTGAAAGAAAAAGAGTTGCTTTCATGTATCTAAATATTTGAAGTTTGTGCTAATAATTTTTCCTCCTAAAGTTGATTTAACTATTTTTTTCAAATAAAATTAAATATTTTAATTTTTTTAACAAATTTACTCAATTAAAATTTTATTTTGATTATAAAATTAATTAAGTATATATATAATTTATTATTAAAATAATATAATTTTGACAACTATCTAACCAACTTCTTAAATATATGTTTGAATTAGCTTTCAATTTAACACATTACTTAAAAAACACACACACACATTTTCAGTTTAACATAGATCAGATAGTTTGAAAGGTATAACCAAATAATCACTAAAATTTTGATAAGTGTAACCAAATACAATATGTTTCTTTTATTTAATTCTGTGAATTATATATACAACATAATTTTCCACTTAAAACTCTCTTAGTTTTATATTCCCCTTATTTCTTTATTAAATAGACGATATACATACATTGTAGTATATAATAATATTAGTTAATTTTTTTAATCAATTATTTTTTTATAATTTTTAATTAATTTATGCATTAATAACTTATATGCATTCTTTATGGAGTAAAATAAAAGTATATATGTTATAAATAATCAAAATTAGTGTATTAAAAATAGAATATTTTATTTTATTTTTATTTGTGTATAAAAATATTAAAGGAATATTAAAAAAGGAATATAAAGAAAGTAACTAGTATAGTAACCACTAATACTGTATGAAATGAGGTACTACGTGCTTCTAAGTTAAAAAAAAAAAATAAGAAAAGAGTAGAAAAAAAGGTAGGAAGAGTGGGAAAAAAAATAGTAGACATTTACTTTGTTTTTTAAAAACTGTGTAAGTATATAATAGTTATTTTGCTTTCAAATTTAACTCTTTAATAACAAATAAATGTATTATTGTTAGTGGATAAAAATATTAAAGTAAATATGTACATAAAAATGAGGTATTATCTTTATAATAATTAGAGGCATTGAGGTATTTTGCGCCTCAAATAGTTATACACAGATAGAATATTAGAAGGTTGGTGTAATTATTCAAAGATAATTTTTTTTATATATATTTGAGGGGTAAAATAATTCATTAAAAAATAAAGATTAAAAGCAATTACATATCTCCTTTATAATATGTATAGATTACAACTGATAGATAAATCACATGTAACTTATCCATTTCAAACAATCATAATTTTTTTCTTTCTTTTTATTTTGCTAGTGTTTTTTTAATCCATTCATGTCAATAGATTTTGTAACGATTCGGCATGTCTCTACATTTTACAACTTAACAACTAGAAGCGAAAAAAATAATCTATTACCTTGGTTATATGTGTGTGTGTGAAAATTCATCAACAACTGAAATAAATCCCTTTATTATACTACAATTATAAATATGCAATCATATATAAATTTAGTAATCTAGTACTAAAAGTATAAACTTATGTTATTAGTCAAGTAACAACTACAAAAAAAATGTTACATTAGGGTAGCTCAAAAATCAACATCACCATCTTCTAGCATGACCCACTAGACAAACTCCTCCTTCGACCTATCCATGTTTTACTTTTATACTAAGTATGATCATCATAATCAAATTACAAAAAAACATCCAAAAGTAAGTTAACATTCAAAAAAATATTTGACAAGTATAAAAGAATTAAACCAATTATATTACAACTCCACCAATTCAACATTTAGCCACAAGCTTACAACTCAACAACATGTTGACATGCTCAACTTATGGCACAACTATACAACTTATTAGCTTAACAAGTGAGTATCACATTTATTTAGCACAACACAGTAATCAACAAATAATTCTTATGTCAATCACGCCTAATGTAACAAAATTTAAGCTCGATGTAACAAAAACTTATAATCGATTCCATTTCAGGCAGAGAATTTTTGCCTAACTTATGTTTGACATTTTCTAGGCAAATAACTTTTGTCTTAATTATGTCTGATGCCACTCAACTAGGGTCCGACGTGACAAAGCCAAAGAACTCTCCTGTAATTTACACTCAATGCCACCAATTCTACTCCCAACAAGAATGAGACAGAAAATCTCTAGCTTGCATCACTTCCAATGAGATGGTGATTTTTACACTTGATAGAATCACCAATTTGGCTATCTTTACCCAAAAATCAAAATATACCAACATGTGATGCCATATATCACTACTACACATCATAATTAACTCATATTCAACTTTAGTTTCAATATGTAACCATTAATCATCAAATTCATCAATTTATTTTTCATAAGAACACATCAACAAAGCTTAAGACTCAATTCCAATCAACCACAACTCATTCGATTTATAAATATTTCAAATAAAATTTGGTAATAACAACATGAAACCAACAACCTTTCAAGTTTCCCTTACCTTTGATCACTCTGGATAGTGGAAGAAAGGAATGGAGTTTCTTAAGCAAAACACCACACGACTACACCACGACCTCTAATTCTCAGCTCTAAATCACACAAACAGTCACACAATTTACTCTTATTGAAGGAATAGAAGAAAATCTGTGAAGTCAAAAGAGATGGTTCTCCATGATTATAGAACCCTTCTCTCTAAACTTTACAAAGAAATAAATTTATGAAATCCATTTTCTAAGAAATATTTCATATACCTTTTCCTTATAAATCAACTTGACCTCTAATTAGAACCATTTCTAACAACTAAAAACTCTTAAAATTCCTAAGTATTTAAAGTTTTTTAACAATTAAATGTGTAATACTTTTAATTTCTTATGACTAACATTAAAAGTGTATATGTATTAATTATATTTTATTCTATATTTTTCTTTCGTTCTCTTTCATTCTTCAAATTGTATTTTTTTTTCAACCGTAAACTTTGATATACAAGTTAAGTTAAGGGACAAAAATAAGAAATAATATGTTTACAAATACATCATGTCAATAAAAAAACCACTCACTACACCAATTATCGATAATAATAATAATAATAATAATAATAATAATAATAATATTATTATTATTATTATTATTATTATTATTATTATTATTATTATTATTATTAGCATAAAAAGGCATTTCTTATTTTCTTGTATTTTTTAAAAATAAAATAAAAGTGAACGTTAACAATTAGAAGATAAACGGTTGTTGAATATTTGTAATTATAAGGATACCTTTTGAGTAATTTTGAAAGTGAGGAAAAAGAATAAAAATTAAATAAGATAACGTTGGAGAGAGAAGAATAATTTAAGAGATAATTATGGAAATGAAATTGTCTAAAAATGTGTAAAAAAAATTATCTTTATTATTTATTAGTAAATAAAATACATTATGTGTCTTTTTTTTTTTTTTTGTAATACTAACATCAGTAGAGATAGTAGACGGTTATTAACATATTAAAAAAAAAAAAGACATATTAAAAACTTTTCTAACATTTGTTAATTGTTATTATACATTTTTTAAAAGTTAAAATTATTAATAAAAATATGTACATTAAAATAAGAAAATTTCTTTATATACGGTATAGATTAACTTTTGAAAAAAGAAGAAGGAATTATGTGTCTTGGATAATAAAATAACAAATAGTTTTAATAATTTATATGATTATTAAAAATTAGTTATAGTTATTAAAGATAAAAAGAAAAAAGAAAAAATAGTGGTAACTTCAAAATGGAAGTTATTATTGGTATAGATTTCAACCTCTCATCCTGTACTGGCGACACATAGGCTAGAAAAAATGGAAGTTCAAAATGAGAATAGTGGAGAATTATCATTGAAATTATTTATGTTATGCTATGGGGCCATTCAAAAGTGAAAAGAAGATAACCGTTAGAGTTCAGTACAGTGTCCTGCAGGGAGTGAGCATCATTTTGAAAAACTCATCATCTGTTTCCATTCCACACTCACCAAACCCTAACATTAGCAACACTATGCAAGACTTTTTGGGCTCCCTTCGCCGTTCCTTGGTTTTCCGACACGGTGCTGCTGATGATGCACCTTTTTCCGGAATCGCGGACAAGCTCGGCTCCGTCATTCGCAAATCGCGAATCGCACCTAAACCTCTGCCTCCTCCGATACGGTGGCGCAAGGGCCAGTTGATAGGTTCCGGCGCCTTCGGTCGAGTTTACATGGGAATGAACCTCGACTCCGGGGAGCTTATTGCCATCAAACAGGTCATTTCTATTTCTGTTTCTATTTCATCACTTTAATTCTCTTTGATTACGTTATAATTGTTTGTTTTCTCGCTTTATTTAGGTTTTAATCGCGTCTGGTAGCGCTTACAAGGAGAATACACAGGTAAAAATGTGGTTTCACTTTTACGTAATTTTAGTACTATTATTCTGCCATAGGTTACACTATCGAGCTTCATGAAAGTGGTTTTGGTGGTCATTGTGTGGAATGAGTGATAATGTATCACTGTGTGTAAAGCAATACTGCTCTTGTTTTGTGTAAGCTGGTTGATGTTCTTCGTGATGATTGATGATGTGGAAAATCTCTTTCTGCCTCGAGTCAGGCTAATATTCGGGAGCTCGAAGAAGAAATCAAGCTTCTCAAGAATCTTACTCATCCAAATATTGTTGTGAGTGTGATCTTATTATGTGACTCAGTATTTTCATTGCTTGGTGTTTAATAATGTAGTAAGTCAATTTTTCCCCTGTTTGCATTGTTGTTTATTTATTTTAGAGATACTTGGGAACTGCTAGAGAGGAGGATTCCTTAAATATTCTGCTGGAGTTTGTACCTGGTGGATCTATCTCATCACTCTTGGGGAAATTTGGATCCTTCCCTGAATCGGTAAGTTGTTATTAGTTTATTACTTCTTGAAGCACATAGACCTGTTACCCGTTGTGATTCCTTTGTTGCTCAATGTTTTTCATTTTTTTTTTCAGGTTATGAAAATGTATACAAAACAGCTTTTATTGGGCCTTGAATACCTTCACACTAACGGGATTATTCACAGGGATATTAAGGTAGTGTGCTTTTACTTTTAAAAGATTCTCTGACTTGGTGCCTGACTAGTTCCTCTATCATGTTGGTCAATGCGCTGTTGGATATAGGGTGCCAACATTTTAGTTGATAACAAAGGGTGCATTAAACTCGCAGACTTTGGGGCATCCAAAAAAGTTGTTGAACTGGTATGATGATACTGTTGATGTTATTAGTTATTTCATTATGATCTCACAAGCTTCTTGTGTAACTTGTTTCTGGCCATGACATCTGAAGTTTGTGGATTGATATAGGCTACCATCAATGGTGCAAAGTCAATGAAGGGTACCCCACATTGGATGTCTCCTGAAGTTATTTTACAGACAGGACATACAATGTAAGTGTATGACCAACACTAATAAAAATCAACCATAATAGCAAAAGTATTTTTGAAGGTTTATTTGTCACAATAAGTGTTTCCAAATAGAAGTACTTTTGTGTGACACGAAGAGAAAGGAAAGATTTATTTGTTGTGAGTTGTGACATGGTTGTTATTGGGAAATTCTCAGATTGTATTAATATTGAGGGCTGGACTGTTATACCTCTGCAAATACTAACTTTAATTTATTTATCGGGAAACTAAACTAGAGATAGAAAGATAGACTTTTGGGAGATTGATTAAAAGGGAATATTACAAAAGTTTTTTATGATATTCTTTCTTTTGCTTTGTTCCTCAGTTTGTTTCCTTTTATTATAAGGATCGACAACTACTGTATTTTGGTCAATAAAGATGTTAAGAACCTTGGGAGATCCACACCACAAAAGTCAGTTATTGTAGTTGGAGAGCCCAAGACCTTATAAATCCTACACTAGAATCCAATACTTCTAGTGTGGGACTCGAGTCCCATACCTTGCAATCAGATCCTAACAAAGTATAATTAAATTTAAGCCTTCAAAATAGTGAATTCTGGAAAATACAGCTCATTTCTAAAGCTAAGATCTCTGAAAACTTTGTTGCTCTAGCTATATCCTTGTTTTCATACTTCAACAATATTTAGTTCCGACTTTTAAAAGTATATGCCCTCATCATAACCCATAACCCTAAACTAACAAAATCTGTTAATACATACTAAGAGATAAGTTTGTCTTTTTTTTCTTCATTGAATATTTTCTGTCATGTCATACCACATCAGCACCACTTGAATCCTCCTCTTTAAGTGACAGATATATTTTTTTCCCCTTTTCGAAAGTTCATCTATTATGGATTCATTTTCCTGTTCTGGTACAATCAACGAGATCTTATAAAAGCCATGTGTGGACCAGATTTGGCTTCCCTTTCATTATTAATATAACACACAAAATATTCTTATTTATAGGTCTACCAAAAACATCATAATAATTTACGGATTATATTTCATATTTGAACAATAAAAGATATAGTAGTGATATTTAAGCTACCTTTCTTTACATATTAAAATTCTAATTCAGGATGAATAATGAAGACATTTTTAGAGAACTTTGATGATGTTCTATATTAAGAACTTGTATTTAGGGATAAAATAGATTTGCCCTTAAACACGGACCTATGACCTTACCTATTTAAATTTTGTTCTCATCAAACCTATTTAATAAAAAGGTCATTTTAGACTTTTAAAAAGCCTATTTATTTAAAAAGATCAGACTTAAACTATTATGCCTAATAAGTCAGTTTATTCATCTATATGATATAATAAAAATAAAAAAATAATATACTTATTAAATTATTAACAATATAATTAAATAAATAAATTTGTAATATAAAGCATCAAATTATCAATATTTTTGACATTTTCGCTATGTTTTGCATTCTCTATTCATATGAAATTAAAAAATAAAAAATAAAATATATAGTAGTAGCATCTTCATCTGTTTTTTTCCTTCATCTTCATAGCTAGTTATTTAGAATTTTTTTTTTTATAAAATTATCTTCTTTCATCACATTATACGTGAGTGTATGTTAGTGTACATAGGTGTGCGTAAGTTGTCCATCTTATGTTAGTTTTTTATTTTTTATTTTAAACTCTAAATTTTAATAATAAACTTTTTTTATCATGTAAATTCAAAAAAGACTCACGTGTATTTAAAAATAGACTTGTTAGCTTATTTAAAATTGTTTATCGACTTATTTAACATTGTTAATGTAAAATTGACTTTTAAATAGGTTAATAAACAATATTAACTTTTAAAAAGGAGTCAGATCTATATAAAAATAAAAACATGATAGATAACAGGTTAGATTTTGACTTTAATTTTATAAAATGGGTCTGATCTGTATATTCAAAATCTGGTTTATTCCCATCCCTAGTCATATTGTTACACTTACACCTATCTTTGCTGTCATATTAATCAGAATAAGACATTCACTTATTAATTTCAAACTGTGATTATTTCACATTACTACTTTGTCTTACTAGGATGTCTAACGGAACAATTCTTGTAACGGAAGGTTGATACTGGCCTTAACTTGCTTCTTAATGTCAATTCCTCATTATGAACATCCAACTCCATTCCTCACCTCTAAAGATTCCTTTCCGGACAAAGCTTCATTAACTTGCTTCTTAGTGGTTTGAGTTTTTTAAATTTGTTTATGATTCATGAAGTATGTATTTAGAAGTTTGTTTTTTTTTTCTTTTCATTTGTTGGAATGAATTTGAGAGAAAAATCATTTTTGAGTTTCAAATTATTGAATTGATATGTCTTTCTTTCTTTAAGAATCATGTGGATTTCAGTCATTGCCAAGGACTTCAAATGGCTTGGTAAAAGCCTGGCAAACAGATAAGATTCAAACTTGTAATGCAGATTATGGAAATAAGTTTCATTAAGCTTGTTTAACTTCTGGAAAAATCTGAACTGACCAACAAAATGAATAATGTATTAAATATTAATGTTTGATAATTTCTGATAAGCTTTGGGATGAGCTTACTTTCTGTCATTTCGTTAAATAGATTTGATTAGAGATATACGTTGTTCTTGGGATGGAATCTAACTTGTGATTTTTTTAGCTCCACTGATATATGGAGCGTTGCATGTACTGTGATAGAGATGGCCACAGGAAAGCCTCCATGGAGTCAACAGTATCCCCTGGAGGTACATGAAAGCCTCACCAAATATAGTAATCTAATTTTATTATTGACTTTCATGGGTTGATCTGTGTTTGTGAGTGCATATGCATGTGATTGGCTATTTAACATTTTTTCACTGAAACTTCTCTTTTTCTTAGGTTTCAGCTCTTTTCTATATTGGGTCAACTAAATCTCATCCACCCATACCTGAACATCTATCTGCCGAGGCAAAGGATTTTTTGCTGAAATGCTTCCATAAGTGCGTACATATGATGCTTTTACCATTTCTTTATAACAACTATTTTATTCTGACTGCATTTGTTTTTGAAAAGGTCAGGGATACAATTTGAGGGTGTTAATGTATATGATATAGTTTGAGTTCTAATCACTTGGCATCAATTTGTGTTGACAGGGAACCAAATTTAAGACCTTCTGCATCAGAATTGTTACAGGTATTCTGCACATTTTTTTCCTCTTCACCCAACTTATGCAATATTCAATTATGATCACATACTGTCAAGGATTGTAATCAAGAGAGAACTCATGCACTCGGAGAAAGTAAAGCTTGCAATAATTAATTTTGGTAAAAATGAATGAAATGAGTGATTACATATGGTTTCGGTTCAAATATACATAAAGCCACCAATAACTGAAGTTAAGTGAAAGGGAGAACAGTTATAACCAACAATTAAGCTAACAACTAACTAAAAGTGTATGAGCACCTCAAGTTGGGAAGTAAAGGATGAGACTAGGATACGCGTTCATGAAATTAGATTCTAGGGAGGGCTTTGGTGAGTACGTCTCTAGGCTCTAGCTGTGTTGTTGAGGGGGTGAGCGGACGAGATTCAGAAATCCAAAATTGACATGTTGCCTGGTAAAATGGCAGTCGATGTTTATGTGTTTGGTTCTTTCATTGGCAGTGGGATTAGTGGCTAGTGTTATTGCAGATTTATTGTCTCATAAAACCATAATGCATGGCATGGAAATCACAAATGAACACAGTAGTTGTTAATCCAATGGAGTTCATTGGTTAAGCATTCAAGAGACCTGCACTCTCCCTCTGCAAAAGATCTGGCTACTTTGGCCTGCTTCTTAGATTTCCAGGAAATTAAGGAACAGATAGAACCCTGTAGTTGACTTCCTTGTCACTTGGCAGCTACCCCAATCAGCATCTACATTAGCAGTGAGCTTGGTGGAGGAGGACTGAGAAGGAAATAGAATGCATTGACCAGGAGAGGCCATAAGATATTGTAAAACGTGATGCAATGCTTGCAAATTTGGTGCTTCAGGTGCTGACATAAAAACTAGCTAAGTTTGTTCACAGCAAAGGTGGTTTTTGGCCTTGGCAAGGGGACCAGGAGGGGCCATGGTCCCCCCATTTTTTTTTTAAAATGGATCAAAATTACTTTAAAAATGTTTTTTTGCCACCTAAAATTTATAAAAAAAAAATTATAGGTTGATAGATAAAAATCATCATGTTAGTTTACATTTGTGATAAGAAAAATAGAGAAATATATATAGGATTGATATATAATGTGCTAGAAAGAGAGATACAAAAAGTATAAATGATAATGAATTATTTATAATGTTAAGTATTTACATTAAAGTGTTAAAAAAAAAATCTTGGCCCCTCTCAAGACAAAGTTCTGGGTCCACTCTAGAGGCTCACCGTCAATGTCATTGAGTTTAAGGTTGGGCTACATGAGCAGGTTTGCAGGCTTAGCAGATGCAAAACCAGTGAATGGTGTATTTCTGTTGGCAATATAGATGAATGTCTTTGGATAACTTGCCTTTTTGTAAACCCGGGAAAATTTGAGATCACCCAAAATCTTCAACTTAAAAATGTTCTGGAGCATGGTGGTGGTTTGAGAGATTAATGAAGCATTGGGGTTGGCAATGGTAGTGTCATCTACATATACAAGTAGAATGAACATGTTATAAATTGATCCCATAGTGAAAACAGAATGATCTGCACTGGATTGAGTGGACCATATGCACCTCTTCAAAGATTCAGAAACGCATTGTTAATGTCCAGTTGCAGCACCAACTTTTCTAAGCTGCAATGGAGAGTAAAATTCTGACAGCAGTTAACTTATCCATTGGTGAGATTTCCACAAGGTCCAATAACAGCTTGCTGCGTGTAGCCTTTGGCTACTAAATGGGACTTATGCATGTCAATACAGCCATCTGCCTTAAACTTATTATTGAATATACAATCAATTTTCTTTTTCATATGCTCTAAATACCATATCAAGGTTAGTAATCAAGAGAAACTGTTAAGGATCCAATTGCAATGTATGGGGCTTGAGTCCCACATTAGAAGTATGGGATTCTAGTGTGGGATTTATTAGGCCTTGGGCTCTCCAAATACAATACCTAGCCTTTTCGGTGTGGTTCTCCCAAGTTTCTTATCAAAAACCTCATGAATGCAGAGAGAAAGTGAAGCTCTTGTTAACTGATTTCAGTAAAAATGAATTCAAGGAATGATCATATGTTTTTGGTTCAAATATACATCAAGGCTCAAGCCACCAATAACCGAAGTTAACTGAAAGGGAGATCAGTTATAACTAACTGTGAAACATACATTTGAATTTGTTTGCATTTTTAACTTAACTTTTCCTTCAAAATTATTGTAGTGAATCTGCCTTATTTATTATCTGCAGCATCCATTCATCACGTGCGACTATCATGGATCTCATTCAATATTACGTAGTTCTATCAGGGTTAGTGTCCACATTTTGAGTATATACGATGCAAAACATAGACCATATCTTCCCTTGCTTTTTATCAACTGTTTATTTTTCCTCTGTCAGGACTCTAGCCATAAGATGGCAACATATGGGATGAACTGTAGAAACTTGTAAGTATATCTTCTCATTTCTGTTGCTTGTGAAACTTAAAATGGGTATGGAGCATCAACCAGGAAATACCATATTGGTTCTGCAGTTTAGATTCTGTCCAGGGATCAACTTGCACAGGCTTAAAGGATGTTTGTCGAATAGATAGCATAAGGGTCTCAACGGTATATCATAAACCAGGTTCCTACCAGAGAGCAGACAACGATGACGATGACATGTGTCGAATGGATGATGATGATTTTTTGATTGATTCATCAGTAAAATCTGAATCTCTATTGGCTTCTGATGTTATGAAGGTGCCAAGTTTGTTTTTTGTTCTTCCACTGCTTTAGTTGTTTCATTTCATAAATAGTGATTTTTGAACACGATATATTTGCTGGAACAGAGTTGCAATCCTATGTGCAAACCAGTGGATGACCAGCCCTGCAATTTCGATGAAACTCAATATTTGGGGAAAAGCAGACCAAACTTGTCCCAAGATCAAACTATTAATAAAACTATCAGAACTTTCAAAGCATCTCTGAGGGTAGAAAATGAATTCTCATTTTCAAGTGAGCCTCCAGGAACTGAAGATGACGATGAAGTTACCGAGTCTAAAATTAGAGCCTTCCTAGATGCTAAGGTTCTATTTTTTAATGAGATCATATATTTCTTGACTTTCAATATAGCTTTACTCAATGATTTCTACCTTTTTATATTTGTTTGCCTTTTTCTTTAAATCTAGCATTGTTAGAATTAGAAACGTTCTTTTTCTTTAATGATTTACATTAGGCCCTTGAACTGAAGAAGCTCCAAACACCTCTTTATGAAGAATTCTTTAGCATATCAAATGCAACCATTGCTCCTGCTCCCATTGCAGTTGCACAGAGTAATGTTATTTCGGAATTCTCAAATGTAACATCAAGAGGCAGGTCTCCTGGTTTGGCTTGGAGACGATTCTCAATGGTTGGCAGTGTTAATCTTGCAAGCTCTGGGAGTCATAGCAAATATCGATCAAAGCTTAGTGGTGCTCACTGTCGACCTTTGCAGGAAATTCAGCCATCTGAGCCAAATGAATCAAAGGAGGCTCTTCATGATGATGGGCTGGAATCATTTAGTGTAAGGTATGTATCTAGTTCTTGGCAGTGGCTGTAATGTTATTATTCTACCCATGTACAGAAATTGAAAACTAAGAATATTTGCAACTGCAGCTCAAGATTCTCTGAGAGGCAAAGGAAATGGAAAGAAGAATTGGTTGAAGAGCTTGAGAGGAAGAGAGGCAAGTTTTCTGTTTTATCTGTCAATTATGAAATGCAATTCGCCTTTTTTTTTGTCATTTTTGCAGATGCGAGGACTTTGGAGAAATTGATGAAATTTATAAAATGCTTTTTTCTTCTTCTGAAAAATAAATTGTTTTATGCATTTAAGAATTTGAAGCTTTATTATTACTTTCAACAACTTTTTTGCTTTCACCTTCATATATACCTTCATACTATGTAAAAGTTGATTTTTTTGTTGTATCCAAATGGAACTATGTTAAGATTGCTTTTTAGCAAACTTACCCAAATAAAAACTTATTCTGATTATAATTAATTATAACAATAATTGGATAATCTGATTTTCACAGCTGCTCCAAACACGCTTAGAATAGTCTTTGGGAATTATAGATACCAGGTCCCCATGATTATAAAATATTTATGTATGAACATGCTAAAAATCATCATAGAAGAGTATTAGATACCATTCCTG